CCTGGTGGAACCACTGAGACTATGGCCCCTAGCTGCCCTTCAGGTCTGAAATTGAAGCCACACCTGTGGCTTCCAGCCAAACAAAAGACAGGCATGAGTTGAACGTTTAACTGAGGTAGATACACTCCTTGGAGAGAACAATCATGGGAGAAAGAAGGGCTGCTTATGCACTGGGAGACAGCTCAGGGGGCAGGAGTGGATGGAGGGATGGACACAGGGAAGAGGTAACTATTGGGAAGTATTGGGAGGGGAGCTGTGGCATTGTGGTAAATTGTGGTCAATGTCATGAGACAAAGTGTATGTGAACTGCTGTATGGTAAGTGAATTTGCCCTGTAAATTTTTACCCAAATCACAATTAAAAAAAAAAAAAAAAAAAAGAATACTCATCTTAAACGTATCATTTCAGAAGATAGAAGATTTCAGTTTTATCCTGATACCAAAATCAAAGACATTACAAGGAAATAGAACTGCAAACCAATATTCTTTTGAATATAGATGTTGACATCCTTAACAAAATATCACATCAAGTCCAGGAATATATATTAAAGCACGATATGTGGAGTTTATCCCAGGAATGCAAGAATGGTATATTATATTTCAAAATTATTAAGTGTCTTTTGCCACATTAACAGATTAAAGGAAAACAAATATATGATTACCTCAATAAATACAGAGAATATGACAAAATTCAACCAGATTGTTTGCATAGCTAACAGTCTCAGAATAACAATAACAGACGTGTTTTGTCTCCCTCTGGAGCAAAAGGTAGGTTTGTTTACAGCTTTGGAAGATACAGATAGTGGCTCCTTCTGGGAGCAAAAGCAGGTGTGCTACTGTCCAGTATAATGAAAGTAATATTTCTCTCTGGAGCAAAGGGCAGGTATGCTTATTGCACTTTATAAAAGAGGAAACCTAAGCGCAAAGTTCCTCCTGTAATGCAACCCACCATTGTGTAGGTGTCATTGGACCTCTTTGTGTTGCCAGTGGGAACTGGAGCATGAGGAACTGATGCAAAAATGCTGCTACTTTGGCTACTGCTATTGCTGTGTGTAATAAACTGTCCTTTATCTCTGACCCAGAGGGTTTCTGTCTTCTATTAGAATCCATGAAATTGCAGCAGGCTAACATACTAGCTACTGGAAGGTTGGCAGTTCAAACTCACTAGATGCTCCATGGGAGAAAAATGTGTCAGTCTGCTTCTGTAAAGATTACAGCCTTGGAAACCCTATGGGGCAGTTCTCCTCTATTCTATATTGTCATTATAAGTAGAAATTGAGTTTACAACAATGGGTTTTTAAAACATATTACCTACCAGAAGGGTAAAATCTCAGATCCTTCACAGTTCTTATAATGTAACAATGTATACCTAAGTTCCATTTCTAATTTTAGAAACTAGTCTAGTGAGTATAGAAATGTGGTACAGTGCCTAAGGCATTTGACTGCTAACTGGAAGGCTGGCAGTTCAAACCTACCAGCCACTCTGAGGGAGGACGATGAGGCAATCTATTTCTGTAAAGATTTACAGCCTTGGAAACCCAGTGGGGTTCACTCTGAGTCAGAATCTACTCGATGGCAGTGGGTTGGGTTTGGTTTGGTTTCTTCTACTTTAATCATCTATTAGGTAATTATGATACTATATAAAAGTGAATTTAAAATTATTTCATGTGGAAAAGTACTTGGATACATTTTTTAAAAATTGAGTGTAGAGATTTATTTACATATCTTGGAAGGAAGCAATTGATAGAGTTTACTTGAAACACCTGTGGGGGGAAAAAAAGAATTTTTTAAAGTGAGAGCATTAATTATATATTAGGAAAATAAATAAATAAACCTATTTCTTGACAAAGCTGCTTTGTACATATATAATGTATACAGATAATATGAATAAAACAATTTTCTTAAAAGATCAAAATTGCTAAATAATTCCATTATGTGCTAAGTTGACTCCAAATCTTAACAAACCAAATTATATTCATCTTAAAGTTTCCTTCTTATAAACTGAAAAGATCTTAAACACATCTCTTTACAAATCCACCACCATATACATACCTTTAAAATCAGGAGCTAAAGGCCTACTCCGACTCCTACTTTCTTCATAAGTATCAGAGTTGTCAAAATGATATTTCTCCTTTCTTGAGATGTAAGCCATTTTTGATAGGTCACTGTGCTGACCACAGATTTTATCACTTAAGTTAAGATATTCTCGTTGAAGATTCCGCATTTCAAATTCCAAGGTATCCCTTTCATTTTGTATACTTCTTACATAGTTTTCTAAAAGTAGTTTTTCTTCAGTAAGCCTACTAATGCTGTTTTCAAATTTTATATTTTCTTGACTATGTTTCTTTAGTTCTTCTTTTAGAATCTGATTATCTGTTTTAATTTCCATTACCATTTTAGATAACATTTCACATTCTTGGCCCATTTCCGACAAGCTATTCTTATAAATACTTGCTTCTGATTTTGCATTTTTAATTTCTTTCAGAAAATTCTCTTCCGCGTTAGATTGGTAGGTTTGAATGTTCTCAACTTCTCTTTCCATCATCTGTCTAGCAGCAGTAGATTCTTGTAATGTTTTTTCAAGATCAAGTTTTTCATTTTTAAATGTTTCTATTATTTGAAGAAGTGTCTCTTGGTCAGTTTTTGCCAGTCTTTCTTTCTCTTTTAGTTGCATTATCTCTAGAAGTTTTTCTTTTACTTCCTTTTCAAGTGAGTTTTTTTCTTTTAGAAGCTGGTATGTTTTTTTCTCTAGCATTTCTTTTTCATCTTGTATCAATAGAACATTTGTTTTCATTGATTCCATTTCTATACTCATTCGATTATTTTCATTATTGACAATGGCAAAATCATTTTGAGTTTTGTATTCCTTACTTTGCAGTTGATCTAATGTTTCTATCATTTGTTGGTTCTCCAAAGAAAGTTGACTATTTTTTTCCTCCAGAGTTTTATATTGGTATTGAAGGACATTATACTCACTGATTATTTTCTTCAATTCTTTCAGACATTCTTTGCCATCTTCTTCTGCTTTAAGTAACCTGCATTGAATAGTGTTCTTTTCTTCAACCATCTTCTTAAGTTGCTTTTCATAGGTTTCAATTTTCTGAATCAGTGATTGTATGGTAGAGACAAGAGGTTTTATTTTGGTCTTTAGAGTTAGATTTTCATTCTCTAGCTCTGTTACTTTTTTCTGTGTCTGCATAGATTCTTTTAGGTATTTCTGTAAGAATTGAATTTTTGCCACACATTGCTCAGTTACAGAACTGACTTTGCATGCTTTCTCATTTTCAAATATTGCTGATCCTTGTTTTAGTACAAATGATTGCCTTTCTTTGTCATTCATTTTATGTTTTGTTTGGTCAAGGAATAACAGTGTATCTCTTGGAACTCTGGAATGGAATTTTAAATCTGTAATATTCTTGCCAGTGATAGGAATTTCCATATTATATTTCTCGTTCTTCTTTCCTCTGTGTATTTCACTCTTAGATAATTTTTTACATTTCTTACAAAAATTCACATGGACTTTTGACACTGTTTCTCTGAGAGGGAGCAATTTGTTTACTAATGCCTCTAATTCTTTAATTCTTCTAGATTTTTTATCTTCATTTAAGTTATTTTCCATATTTCCTTCCTTAATAAAATTAATATTTTCCCTGTGGATGGGGGACAGGTCATATTTACCATTACTTTGAACATCTGTATCAGTTTTTAAAGTTTGAAGTTCATTTGTAAGCATCAATTCCCTATCATGTGACTTTTGAAGCTCCTCCTTCATTTGTTTGATAGAATGGCAAATATCATCTAAATTTTCACAAAATTCATGCCTGAGAAAAGGCACAGTAATTGAGGATTCATCCAGAATTACAGTATCAGATTGAGACATTCCATTTTGAGGTGAGTTAGGTAGAAAACTGTAAAGGTTATTATAATTCTTCAGCATGTCAGAATTTCCTGAAGGGTTCATAATTATATTTGAAGCTGCATTATCTGTTGATGTTCTCAGAGGTAGTATGTCCTTGAAATGTATTGTAGATGGAGTATTTATATTTTGAGAGAGATTGTTAACACTATCACTACTAAATTTTTCTTCCACTGAATGGAGAAACCTTGAATCCTCAAAATGATGAATTTTCTCCATAGAAAGGATTTCTTCTTCATTCTCTATGGGCTAGTAACAATAATAATAATAATAAAAACACTATAAATATACTTTCATTTGTCACATGACCAACAACTTAAGATAATTTTTGTTGAGGATTTATTTATACAACTAAAATGAGCATTATGTCCAGTTCTATAGCAAAGAAGCCTAACAAGTATGATTCATTTTCTCCAGAAAACTTAACAACAGTTGTTTTGAGATCTATAACTTTGGTCTGTACTATTTGCTTAGAAATTGCACTTACTTCCTTAGAGTGTGAGGTTTATGTGTATCAAATCTACAAACAGAAATTTAACATCTCTCAAGACACTCTACATATATGTGTGTGTGTGTGTATGTATATCATTCCCATATATATGTATATATATATATATGTGTGTGTGTGTGTGTCACACACACACACATGTATACATATAGGAATGATCAAAGGAATAGTTCAAATGGACAGTTATGAAAAATGAAAATTACCTCTTCTGAGCTGTTTGTCAGACTTAGCTTGCATTTCTAGTTTCAAGAAGATTCTAGGGCTGTTACTGTCCTGGAAATGTGAATTCCAGTCAGTGTGGATAGGGTGACTGGGAGGTTTGGAGCTGTTCTAGGGAGTTCATCCCAGGACTAGTCAATCCTAATGGCAGAAAGAACTCTTAAGTAGATAGATAGATTACAAAAATTGCCTTCTGCTTAAATTCACTTGTGTATCCTTAGGTATCTGGACTAAATCAAATGCCCTTTACGGACTCTCCTGCAAAAAGTAAGCACATTTCCTAAGTATGGAGGTAAACTCACGTCTTTTAGGGTGTTTAGGATAGGAGTTTCCTTATATTCATCTCTGGCAGTCCATTCTTCCTATGAAGAAGGGGAGAATGTAAATGTGAAGATAAATTGATTGTAGTAACATTTTTGTAGTACCTCAATATAAAAATAATTTGTACAGAATAACATACCAAAGTCTTTTCAAAGCGTGTGCTGAATATTAGATCTTTTTCTGAGCTAAATTGTGGGTTTTCTACTTCAATAATACTTTTGTTCAGTATATCACTGATTTCAGACTGTACCTTCAAAAGATAAATTGCGAATGTTAGAATTTGACTTATAAATATATGAGTGTACAGTAATAATAGATATTATAATTCAGACTTAGATACATTTGAATTTCCTGCACATAAAAATTCTTGCCCATAATGTAGAGTATAAAAAGTCACTTTTAATTTATTGTAATCTTTTCCATGAATGAAATCTTTAAGAAAAGTATGTTTTTACTATATATGATATAATAAAATCACAAAGATTTAATTTAGTAAAAATAACATTTTATAAACTAAATAATGATTTTTCAATGACTGAGTAAATCAAAGGTCTTTGATGTCTGCCATCAAAATGAAATCTGTTTTGTTACCCTCAGGAAGAGTTTATCCTCTCTTCCCATTTCCTTACAGTTGTTTTGAGTTCAGAACATTGGAAAGAAGTTTATATAGGGTCTTTAGTGATACATGTTGTGTTCTGTACCCCCAATATCTAGCCCCTATCTTTCTGTTAACACTACCTCTTATTTCTTCTGGAGAAAGTTAATGTACCTTTGGCGATACTGATTCCATTTCTAGTTCCAGGGCTGGGCATGTAACTCAGGTTAACTAGTCAGAACATTGCATTCCTCTGGGCAGTAACTGGTTCAAACATTGCATGTAACCCATTCTGGGTTAATCAGAATCTGGCCTAGGACTTTAGTATAAACTATTAAGAGAAAAAGACATGCTCTTTTCTCTGCTTGATTTGAACTTAGAAGGATTAAGGCCTAGAGCTTCTGATAGCCATTTTGCCACCACATGGAGTCTAAGAATCCATTACTGTGGAAAGCAGAGCCAAGATATGGAGTGAAACTTAGTCCTGACGAGGTGAGTCCTGATCATATGGATTAAGCCATCCCTAAAATAAGCTATCTCTAAGTTACTGGGCAATCTACTTCATAGTGATACTGCCTTGGAAACCAAAGGAAGGGTCGCTATGAGTTGGGTCCGACTTGACAGCACATAACAACAACAAGTTACTTGAGCTAATAAATTATACTTTTCCCTTAAAATATTTTGAATTAGATTTTACATTACTTATAATGAAAGAGTACCTATTTGTAGACTATATATTGGTAGCACTTTGAAGATGTATTTGAAAAATTCAGTGAGCTTTATTTCTTTTTGACTCATTTCTAAATACAGGTATAACAGAGAAGAACATAGTTTCCTAAAAACAAATTTTGAGCCTGGAATATTTTGTGGACTTTATTAGATAACAATCTATATTAATTAATCAACTGGCCAATGATGATCAGCCTAAAAGAGTGGAGTGATTCCTTAAATTTGGATGTTTCTTATTGTCATGAATTGAATTGTGCTCCCCACCCTCCCTGTGTTTGTCAACTTGGCTAAGACTTGATTCTCACTGGGTTAGCAGTTATATAATGTTGATACCCCATGATATGATTTGATGTGATAAGCCAATCAGATGTAAGAGGATAAAGATGGGATGTTGTTGTTGTTGTTGTTATGTGCCGTCGAGATAGCGACCCCTCCTTGGGTTTCCGAGGCAGTATCACTATGGAAGTAGATTGTCCCATCTTCCTTCCGAGGAGTGGCTGGTGGGTTTGAACCGCCAGCCTTCTGGTTAGCAGTCAAGTGCCTTAGCCACTATGCTACCAGAGCTCCCAAAGATGGGATATAACACCCTTAGTCCCACCACAGAGTTGATCAGATATGAGGGGAGCTTCCTTGGAATGTATCCTGCAATATCTTTTATCTTACAAGAAATAAAAAGAAAGAGAAGGAAGTTGTGTGAAAGAGAAAAGGAGCAGAAGAGGAGCCAGGAGTGGAGTGTGACATTTGGACGCAGGGTCCACTGGGATCCTCCTAGGACCAAGAGACACACAGAGAGAAAGCCTTTCCCTAGAGCCAGTGCTTTGAACTTGGACTTCTAGCCTCTTAGACTGTGAGAGAATACATTTCTGCTTGATAAACCTATCTACTCGTCATATTATAGCAACATTATATAACTAAACCAAAAAAAAAAAACCCTAACTCACTGCCGTCGAGTCAGATCCAACTCATAGCGACCCCTCCTTGACGGCAGTGCATGTGTGCATGCATATCACTACGGAAGTAGATTGCCCCATCTTCCTTTGAGGAATGGCTGGTGGGTTTGAACTGCCAGCCTTCTGGTTAGCAGTCAAGTGCCTTAGGCACTATGCCATAATTTGAAACCACATACCATGCTAACATTCTGCAAAGTCTGTATTCTGAGAGCCTGAAATGATTCCAATTGATTCTGAAGAACCTATAACAAAATTAAACAAGGTAACAAAATTGAGTGTTTTTTAGGTTGGCAAACATTACTTGAATTGTTATGATATATATATATATCCTCCAAAGTAGTCTATTAATTGCTAGAAAGTATGACATGAATGTCAGGTGACTCACATCCTTATTTATTCTTGCTAACTATCCAGTGGGCTTTCATGAGCATTTTTTCTGGAGATAAAATGGAAGAGCCCATATGTATCCAGGAAGCATTTATTCTGAAAAAGATCAGCCTTTTCACTGTTTTTTAGAAATCATAAAATAAAATATACTTACCTTTAATGCTGATTGTGGTTGGACTTGATTTTCTGATTCTGGTCTGCAGCCATATTCTAAAAACCAAAATAGAAAAACCATGTGATTTATTTCTTAAACTGTATTTTTAAACATTTGTACTAGAAAATAGTCTAACTTTCTAGGATAATGAAACAGATAATGAGAACTTTTACATTTACATTGTGAAGAACCCCATGCTTGTCACATATTTCGTGTAAGAAATAATTTTCTCTTGACTTAAAATACCTGCTAGAGGTTATTATATGTTTTTAGTTTTATAATAAACCACTAACTTGCAACGCCAAATCTTGAACTCTCAAAAATTCACATATCTTTGTTTCTGGGATTTGAACAATTTTCTTTTTTTGTAAAAATAAATAAATAAATAAACAAAACAAAAAAACTAGTAATCCTTATATATTTGAGACCTTTGGCAAAGTCTTTATAGGCCTCAGTCAATATGAAATTGCCATATGGTATTTTCTCCTCTTATCATTGGAATAGGAATTGGTGACAGTGGGTTTGCTTTGGTTTATCATGGGAAACAAACTGGATTAAGAGAATGTAACTTTTGCCCTTAGGCAAAGTACTATAAAGATCTGTGTCTCCTTTTTGAAAGAGAGATTATAGATCTACAACAGAGCAAGAGACTATATAATGTTCCCAAATTTTCTGACATACATCCCAAATTGTCCAAATATTAGGCTACTTGATAGCTTTTTAGCGGTTTTATTAAAGAATTCATAAAGCTTTCAGTGTCCTGAATAAAATGAAAGTTATAGTTGGATGTTCCCCTGCCAAAAGAGAAGATTTTAGAAAAGGTCAGCTCATCTTCTCCTTTGGAGTGGTAGTCTGCCAGATGTTACAGAGATGGCTGCAAAGTATGACTTGTCTTCCACCATCTGGCCCTCATCACTGGGGGAGCAGTGGTTCTGGGCCTGGAGGTGTTAAAGAATCCCACCTTCAGTCACAGGATAGGGAGGGACAGCGAGTCTATCTGCACATTGCTTGGCTTTGCATTTCCATAGGGAAAAAAATGGCAGTCAAACTTTTGGTTGTCTGAAAAGTATCCAATAGAGATAAAAAAGGAACTTGAAGCAATGCCTAGACCAATGCAAGAAAGCATTGTGAAATGTAACAGGTCCTAAAACAATCTCTCCTAATGAATGCAAGTTGCTCAAAGCGCAAATCAAAAAGAATATATCATCTAGAATCCCACCATCCAGAATTAACTCTTATTGATTTAACACTCTATGCGTTGATGGAAAAAAATAGAAATGATTTTAGAACAGTGGGATCATATTATGTATGCTACTTTTAAATAAATAATAGTAAATGTATATTTACTTGATTTTAACAATAAAAATTCTACCAATACTCAAAAGTTATTACAGTTATTACTTATATTTAATTTTTTTTCCACTACAAGAGAGATTATTTCCTAAGAGGTCTCTCCAAGCTAATGAAAATATATTATGAAAAGAATTAAAAGGCTGGAATCTTTATGGTTTTAATAATATACATTCCTAGAGTTCTGTGCCAAGAAGATGAGAGAATTAACATTTATATCTCCACATCTACTATCCATTTTTCATGGTATTTTCTAGTTACATTATTTTTACACTGTAGAGACTTGTGATATTTACATTCTGTTCTGTAATCATACATCCCACAAACCTCTATATTTATATATGAAGTAAGATTTTATTCTTGTGTCTTCAGCCTTCAGTTTATTCTGAATGTTAACACTGTTCAAAATACCATCACCTTCCTGCACTTGCAGCCTCCTTTTTCTGTAAAGATTTCCTTTATTTCAGTAGGAAAATGTACTTGCAATTAAATGTAGGATTCCTCTTACTAAATTGAGCCAGAAATATAGAGCCAAAAGAAATCTGAACACTTAGTAAAGGGATATGACAACTAAGAAAAATTTAAGAAAGAACTATTAGCCTTTTAAGTCTAGAACCATAATTCTGTGTGGGTCTTTAAATATTCCTGAATTTTGAAAATTAATTTTCTTTGGGGAATAAGTAGCAGCTAATGTCTCTGAAATTCACAAGAAAAACAAAAGTTACTTTAATAGCTTTTAAAAATAGAGAAATCCAATTCTCTGCCTACTCTCTGCCTACACTGAAGCATCTGAACATTGCTGGAAAAAAAAAAAAACAACACACTCATTTTTGAGTCATAACCATGGATCTAAAATGAGCACTCAATATTATTTAGAAACTTAGTTCATTTCTCCACTCCGAGATAACTATTTCACTCCTTGTGTTTCCTCAAATCTCCAATACTCTTTCTACCACCTCTCAACTTATAACATGATCTCATAGTGTATGAAAAAAATAAAAGCTGTGCACCCCAAATTTGCTAATCCTCAATCTTCAAATTTGCTAACCTACCTCCCTGCCTACCACATTCACTGTCTTCCCAGTTTCAGTGAAGAATTGCCCTTGCTCAAAGACCCCATCTTTTCTGGAACTTAAGTCTTAGCTTCCACATTAGCCTCTCTCATTCTCCAGAATTATTCTTTTTCTCTATTTCTATTATGATTCTACAACAGGCAAACATGTTAGAATCTCCTATGTTGACAAAAACTCTTCTCGACCCTCATATCTTGTCCAGTATTGACCATAGTCTCTATTCCTTTCCACAGTAAAGCCAGAGAGAGTTGCCTATATTTATTGCCCAAACTTTCACATTCATTTGGGTTTCTCTACTGTCACCCAGTATGGGTCGGTGGTGACCTTCCTATTTCCCAATACTCTGGTGGCATAGTGACTAAGGCACCTGACTGCTAACCAGAAGGCTGGCGGTTCATACCTACTAGCCACTCCTCGGAAGAAAGATGGGGCAATCTACTTCCTTAGAGATACCGCCTCAGAAACCCAAGGAGGGGTCGCTATGAGTCGGATCTGATGCGAAGGCAGTGAGTATGGTTTTTTTTTTTTTTTTTTTAATTTTGGTTTTCTCCTGCATCATAGACTGATTCATCCAATTACCTGCTTGACATCTCCACTTTAATGACCAATAGACAACTTAACCTTTACATATCTAAAAAAGAAATTTTTCCTCCTAAAACATGTTCCTACACTATTTTTTTTCCATTCTAGCAAATTACATCATCATTTATGCATCTACTCTGAACAAATATCTGGGAGTCATTCCTGATTGCTTTCTTCTCTGCTCACATTTAATCCTCTAGCAAATACTTTTGGTTTTATCTTCAAAATATATCCTGAGCTTGCTTTCATATATGTATATGAAAGTCTAGTTGTTTCCAACTCACAGTGAACCCAAGCACAACAGAATGAAACACTGCACGGTCTCACGCTATCCTCACAATTGTTATTTTTGAGCCCTTGTAGCAGCCACTGTGTTACTCCATCTCATTGAAGGTCTTCCTCTTGTTTTGCTGACTTTACCAAGCATGAAGACTTTCTCCAGGGACTGGTCCCTCCTGATAACATGTCCAAATATGTGAGACTAAGTCTTGTCATCTTCCTTTCTAAGGCACATTCTGGCTGTACGTCTTCCAAGTAAGATTTGCTCATTCTGCTGGCAGTCCAAGAATTCAATATTCTTTGCCAACACCATAATTCAAAAGCATCATTTTTTTTTAGTCTTCTTTATTCATTGTTTAGCTTTTGCATGTGTATTATGTGATTGAAAATAGCATAGCTTGGGTGAGGTGCACCTTAATCCTTAAAGTGACATCTTTGCTCTTTAACATTCTCAAGAGGTCTTTTGCAGCAGATTTGCTCAATGCAATATGCCATTTGAATTTTTGTCTGCTGCTTTCATGAGTATTGTTTGTGGATCTAAGTGCAATGAAATCCTTGACAATTTCAATCTTTTCTCTGTTTATCATGCTGTTACTTATAGTTTCAGTGGTGAGGATTTTTATTTATGTTAAGTTGTGATCTTTATTGAAGGCTGTAGTGTTTGATCTTTATCCTAGCCTCTTCAAGCAAACAAAGTTGTGTTATACACATTTCACGTGTTCTTCATGCTCTTCTTCATATAATCCACCTTCTTAGATTATTTTCTCAGTGTGCAGATTGAATAAATATGAGTGACTCTTCTGGTATTTGGAATACTGGTGGCATTGCTTCCAGTATCACAGCAACATGTAAACCACCACAGTATGACTAACCGACAGACAGACGAATGGTGGTTGGGAGGATAGTACAGACTAAGTGGAAGATTAGGAGCCCTAGTGGCACAGTGGTTAAAGAGCTTGGCTGCTAATCAAAAGGCTGGACATTTGAACCCACCAGCTGCTCCATGGAGAAAGTGGCAGTTTGCTTCTATACAGGTTCCAAATTAAACTCATTGTTGGTGAGTCAATTCCAACTCACAGTGACACAATAGGACAGGGTAGAACTAACTCAGTGGCAACACTGGGGGGGGGTTGGTGCAGGAGGTGTGAACCACACCAGATGACACTGTCAGAGGAGATAACACCAAAATTACTATAAAATTTTTGTGCAGTGTTTCAGAGAAATGTATTATTTTTTTTAAATTAAAATATACTTACAAAAACATTTTCTAAGCCCAGCTTACATGTACCAATATACTTACAAGGTTAAAAGTCTAGGAGGCGGGGCAAGATGGCAGACTAGGCAGAAGGATTGCACAGACCCTCTTCAACAAAGAAAAGGGAAACCAATTAACACAGACACAGAAGATAATCTTGGACCCCTGAGCCTTGAAGGA